TTATCGCGGATCTTCGATTGGTCATAACTTCTTCGTTATAACTCGGATTTCGACGAGGTTTTCGCCTGCATGTTTCTAACGAGATTATCTACAACTTTCAACAATAAAATTTTACTTATTTCAAGTTTTATATTTTCACTGAATTTCACTATTTAGCTTTTAATTGGAATCTCATAAGACTTCCAATAATTTATGAGTGATTCTAAACATAGTTTTACCTTATTTCTAGTAAAAACTATCTGTTAGAACTCAGTACTCAATATCACATAATATTTCATAATATTATTTATATAAAACACGATCTCAAAACGTGTATGTTACATAAGTCACTAAATTTACAATTTTGGTGCCAATTTAACAAGTTGATCGGTTTGTTTCAGGTGTTTCACTACTAATTAGGCAAAAAGCTGATGTGACTTTCACATGTGATTCTAGTTGGCAAACATTTGTATTAAATTGAACCCTTATGTAAATATGTACTCACTTTCTCTTATTTTTTCTTCTTTTCTTCTCTCATAGCATCACGATTTTGTACAGTGGCTTCTCAAGGGTGCTCAAATGGTTCATTTTCCCAATTGGCTTCCACAAGGGTGATCAAATGGTTCATTAACCAATTTATCAGTTTGTTTCACGTGTTTCATGCTTTTCACTTGCTGATTAGGCAAAAAGCTAATGTGACTTCCACATATGATTCTAGTTGACAAACATTTTTGTTAAATTGAACCTTTACATAAATATGTACTCACTTTCTCTTATTTCTTCTTCTTTTCTTCTCTCATAACATCATGATTTTGTGCAATGGCTTTCCAAAGGTGCTTAAATGGTTCGTTATCTCAGAATGGTGTAAGCAAGGCAATGAACATTGTCCACATTAACATCTCCTAAAAGAAACATTCATTCTTTTGCTTACAACATGGAAAGCCATTGCACAAAATCATGATGCTATGAGAGAAGAAAAAATAATAATAATAAGAGAAAGTGAATACATATTTACGTAAATATTCAATTTAACTCAACTGTTGCCTACTTGAATCCTATATGGAAATTCCGTCAGCTTTTTTGCCTAATCAGCAATTGAAAAAAAAAACACCTTAATTAAATTTACAACAAAATTATAAATTTAGCTAGGTAATTAAGATAAAAAATAATACACTGTCAAAATAAAAAATTATATAAACTTATTTATGTAATTTTATATTTTATTTTTATATAAATAAACACCTACCCACGCACTTTTACCCACCGACTGCCTCTGCCTTCACTCTCACTTTCTTCCCTGTAAGGCGTAAGTTCTTCCTCGTCGTTACTCCTCTGCCTACCATCTCTTCCGCATTACTTGCTACAGTATAAGTGTATATATCTTCAATGTTATCATTTAAATCTTGTTTTCTCATAATCCGATGATTCATTTTTGTTTAGTTTATATGTTATCTAGCCACCGAAAACAATCTTCCCTCGGTTCCTCGATAAGCGTTATATTTTGATGTTTCATTCAGACGAACCTCACCTACTAAATTCCAAATGCAAAAATATCATGACTTTTACTGCGGAATAATCACCAATTCCGTATCAAGTTAAATTGTAATGGGAATTTCTATGTCAATTTTCAAGTAATATTGTTACAGGTTTATCATCTAAAAAACAACTTAAATTCGTCTTAATTTTGATAACTAATTTGAAGTAATAAGAATAGAAAAATCTCCTGCAAAATGTGCCCCAAGTTTCATGTGTTGGATTGAATAGGAAATGATAATCAATAATCTGGATTTCTCAAGGATAGTGAATGTTCACTCTCTCCCCTTAGCCTGGGTTAGGAAGAAATTTAATTTGGGATAATCCGTGAGGACACTTAATGTTTTAGGCACTAAACTTAATGTTCTACAACACAACCTTCTTTCCAAATTCCCCAACAGAATGGTAACATGATGTTTCTGAAGTATGTAGAATTCATTAATTATATTCCGCTTCAGATTCTTAGTTTATGTCTTTTTTCTTTGCAAATGATTCTTGATTCGTGTGTTTGTACACCATAGATAAGAATCATAAGACTACATTACTATCATTCACCTCATCTGTTTGATTATTCTTTCATATGTAGCTAATGTCTATATTGATTGCTTAATCAGATTTTGAGGAGCTGTAATGTCTGAAACCAATGATGGTGGACCTTCTTTTTCACAATTTCCCTGCTTTTCAAGCTCAAATCACTCTCAAGTAACTTATACTGAAGCTGTCCCCATCCGTTGTGTTGCTCCTATTAGTGTTACTGAACCACACACCAACAAGAAAAACAAACTTTCTTCCAAGAACAAGAACAAGTCTTGTTCAATTTCTAAAAAGTCCAAGAAAAAAACCATTCTAAAACCAAATGTGGAGAGAAAGAATCTGGATGCTAGTTTTGATGATTCCAAAATTGACTTTTCAAAGGTACCTCCTCCTATATGTTCTTGCACAGGTGTTCCTAGACAATGCCACAAATGTGGGGTTAACGGGTGGCAATCTTCTTGTTGTAACTCTAAGATATCGGTTTTCCCCCTTCCAATGAGTCCATGGAGGCCAGGGGCACGTGTGGGTGGAAGAAAAATGAGCCATGGTGCATATCGGAAGCTACTTTGTAAGCTTGCAAGTGAAGGTCAAGATCTTTCTCATCCAGTTGACTTGAAACCACATTGGGCCAAACATGGCACTAACAACTTTGTTACAATCAAGTAATATTATATAATATCTATGTAACTTAGTCTAGACTCTAGAATGAATCTTAGATGTTGGGAAAATCTAGTTGTGAATAAAAGTAATAATAATAATATGAATATGCTTTAGACTTTTGTTGGTATGTCCAATATGGTTTTTATTCTTACTTGGTTTGGTAATAATCTTGATGATAAGAGAAGATGGTGTGTGATCATCTCAATATTTCATTCAAGAATTTGATTCTCTATATTACAGATATCCATAGCACAGAGGAAGGGAACTAAATACACATATGGGAATGGGAATGGGGAATAATTTTACATGAAAACAGAGGTTTTAGGATTTTTGTTGTTTTGTTTGTTTTACTTTAAGCTTTTGTAGCTTCCAATGGAGCTGAGGCCTTGGCAGCTGTGAGTTGTTCAAAAAGGTCACGAATTTTCAAACCAACAATGGTTTGGAATAGACCAGTGCCATTGTTGCTCCCTGGGAAGTCTGAATGCTTCAACATTTGTTGGGTGATTTCTCCATAGAATTTGGTGGAGATGTTGCTCAAATGGCTCTCAACATAGATCAGCTCATCCAGTCTGTCAAATTGCCCATCCATCTCCAACACAGACACCTGCAACATAAAAATGTAAAAAATCAATCCATTTATTCATAAGCACTCATGGACATATTATTAAAATTAAAACTACTAGAAGATGATGTGAACTTTTTTTTTTTACCTCATTGTCAAAGTAAGAATCAGGGCCATAGGCGAATTTGATACCAGGGTAAGAACAGGTGAGCTTCCTTCCACATGGGATCCATGAGATGGTGGATCCTTCATCAAATAAGTAAACAGGATTGAAGTATTTCACTCCCTCTTTCATTATCAGCTTCACTCTCAACACCTTCCCTTCATTGTCATCCGGGATCAGCTGTGTAGGCAACACTTCTATAACCGCATCTGCATATTGCTTCTGTGGGTCTGCACCATTTTTCATGTTCAGAATATGCTTTTCATATTACATTCTAGAAAAATACAATTGCTTTTAAGTTGAAGAAATTGTACAACTTTTGAACCAACAAGTACAAGATAACAGATTAGGTAGTAAAGAACATTAAAATTTTGAGTGAGGTTAAAACTGAATGATATTTACCGATATAAGCATCAAAATCTGGCTTTCTGGCCTCAATACTAGCTTTAATACTTTCAAGGCTGTGTCCTCTCTCTGCCATGTCCCTCTACATTTTAAAAGATCTATGGTAAATAAAACAAATACAAGGGTAGAACTGTAATTTGACAAATGACAATATACCTGAATTTTCCAGGCAAATTTAACATCATCGCTGATGTCCAAGTAGATGCTGAAGTCCAAGAGGTCTCGTACTCTCTGATCATACCTACACATATTTATATATAATTAAAAAAAAAAAAAAAAAAAAAACAGATCATGTATCCAAACAAATAATAAGGAATAACTAAAGATTTGAACATCCGTATGTGTAAGGTGGTTAAAGAGTTGCATACTTACATTGGATGGAGGCCTTCAATTACAAGGATCTTAGGGGGCTTGATGAGCTCTGGGGGATCCAAAAGACCACTGACATGGTTATAAATAGGCTTATCAACAGCGATACCATCTTTAAGAGCCTTAACCTGTTCATACATAAGATCAAAATTATTGGCTCTTGGATCCAATGCTGTCACCCCTTCCACTTTCCTCCCTGTTCTATCCAATGAATGGTAATCATCCAAACATATCACTGTCGTTGTGTCACTTATCAGTGTGTTGGAATCAGGATTCCCTCCTTTTGGTGGCTCTGCTGCACCTCCAAACACACTGGTCAACCTTCTCATGAAGGTACTCTTCCCACACCCTGAGTCTGCTGCTAGTCCAATTACGATTGTGTCCCCTGAACATCTTATCTCACCACTTCTCACTCTGCCCCTGTGTGTCTTTTTACCATAGAACAACACTTGTCTTTGCTGGATTCCTAAGTGGCTTTTAATGGTGGGTGTTGAGATTGATGAGCATGTTGAGTTCAAGGATTGGACTGTGTAGACTACAGTCGACACTGCCATTTTTTCTCTCTTTCTTTAAGTTTCTCAGGAGTTGAAAGAGAGAGAAAGAAATAGGTTCTTAATGTGTCACTCTAATTGGCTTTATGCTCCTTTTCTTTCAAGTGATAGTTTTTGTGAGATACAAAATGAATCAAGCAATTCCAATCTGGATAAAGCATTGTACAACTTGTGTTTCAGAGGGTGCATCTCTCTAATGGAGGTCATTGAAAGGATAAGTGGGCATGGTTGTGGTGTCTTTTGAAAATTTGAGGGTATTTTTGTCATTTCAGAAGATAAAAAAAAATTATGAGAATTTTTTTTTTTTTTTAAAAAAAAAAAAGAGGAAAAGATTGGGTGTTGAAGATGAGATGAGGTGATGGCATTTGTGATAACAATAGGCATGGAGAAGCTTGGTTGTTATTTGATGCAGTTTGGATATTTGGCATGACATGTGGCATCAAGGTATTGGTTGATTGAGGATGAGGGTATTATTGAGCCTGGGGTTGTTATTTTGCCAACCAACTTAACCTTTGGGCTATTTTTGCAAAAATTCCATTTCCTTTTTGCCATTTCAAACCAATTTCATAAATGCGTACTACGCATTAATTATGTTTTCAAGTATACTAGTGTACAAGCTTAAAAGCTATATGTACAAGAAAGAGTCTATGGAATTTCTTCTGACTTGACTTAATTTGGTCAAACAGTGTTTCATAAAAATGATATTTCTTAAGTTCCGTGCAAAATCGCAATGGTGTATGTCTATGTATATGGATGAACAACAAATTCGGCATCTCATAATGTTTGGATCAAATAATTACTGAAAACTTAAACTCAAGAAATCTAGGGAGTACCTTCTTGGCTTGCTATATGTTTGTTTTGGTTGTGTTTCTAAATGTCATTATATTAAAATAAATAAATTATGTTTCAGAATAGAATCCTTAGTTGGTGCAAAAGTCAATAATTTTAAAAGATTAAAAAAATGTGGTTCTTTAATCTTTAACCTTAGATTTTTTTTTTGGAAAGGTAAATCTTAAACCACTCCTAAATCCACGTGTCTTAGATGTGATATAGAAGGTTACAATGGTTTGAAACGTTAGTCCATGATCACCTCAAACATTCATGCATACATACATACATAGTCATCAATCACAAATTTCCTCTAATTCCATCCCAAAGTTTGGTTCAATTTCTTTGACAAACCAAATAATTATAAGTCTTTATATCATACTTGCATTGTGTTGAAAAGCTAATAAATATGAAGATGGACATGAACCCGCAATTTGGAAAAGCACATACAAGGATTGAAAACCTTGTTTTACTGGGTTTTGATATATTTAGTAAGACATTCAACTTTATCATTAGGCATTATTTACATGTCAGCATAAAAAAAAACCATCATTTTAAAATTATTCTTAGTGGGTTAAAGGTTATCAAACTTGATTTCTTATATGATATTGTATATGTGTTGATCCATAAATCCTAAAATAGATGTTTTGAAAAATAGAATCATCAAATTGAATTGTAACATTATATAATTAATCAATATTAGTAACAATATTAAAATTGTTAATACTGATCATAATACCAAAAATGAAAATTTGGACATAATTGAGGATTTTATGTCATTGTAAAAATAGATACTTGAGTTAAGGAACAGTGTATTGGTCGCTTTGCTGAAAACCAAATAAGCAAGTGAAAGAGGTATATATACTTATGACTTGTGTATAAGAAGCCTATAAAACAAAAGTCAAAAGGTAGCCGAGAGAGAGAGAGAGAGAGTATACACATATATGTTTTATGTTATGTTTCTATATATAAAATATAATCAATCAATTATACATCATCATATACTAGTAGTAGTATCATAAATCATGCTTGCTTCTTGGAAGTTGGAAGTGGACGCACACAAGAATGTTGGATAGGATAGGTACAAAACGGGCTCAGATGCTCACTTGTTGCCACGGAAATATATGTAAACTTTCTGTATAAAGTATAAACCAAACAAAAAGCATCACCACAAATACATTTTACTTTTTTACCAATTAATGCAATAAAATGGTTTTTGACACCAACTATGCAACCATGTTTAAGGTGTTCCAAAAACCTCACCTATCATTTTTTTATTGATTTAGTTTGCTAAAAATATTACTGCATGAATAGGTAACAAGTAGTCCATTTTTGTTGCACAAAGTGGTGAAAAATGAAACATGGTTGCATAAATAAATATGCATTTAACAGAAGAGCTGAAAATTACTAGTATGAGTATCTAACCTGAAGTACCCAGAAGCTTAGCAGTGATTCTACACAAAATAATCCAAATCCTACCAGATAGAAGATCTGCAACAACAACAACAAATGGTTATGATTAGCATTTAGAAAGTTTTACAATTTCAAAAATCATTCTTTCTGCTGTTTCAAAATAAGATAGACATATATAAGGTCAAGTAGAAACTAATTCCACAACTTGGTTTTTAAATTATTGTTTCCTTTGGCACTTTGTATTTATTATGTATGTATGTTGGTTTAGGACTTACCCCTGGTAATGCATGGTCAGAAAAGACATCAATTGCAGCTAGGATTCCCCTGGTGATTAAAAACAAATACACCAAAAAATGTAAATGAATAATTACATACACTTTTAGAAGCCAAAAAGAAAGAAAGAAATTATAAGCATATAGTGTGTGTGTGTGTGTGTGCGTGTGGGGTTTGAAGTTAAGAAACAGAACTTACGTCAATGACCTCCCCTCAAAGACTATTGGAGGAGCAATAGCAGCAAATATACAAAACCCAAGATGGATCTGCAAATGGATTCAAATAGAATTAAATTTTATTTGAAATCAACATACACATACACTAAAGGTATAATCTTGACATGCTTCCTCACCAAGTAAAACAAGAAAAACCAACTGAATTTCAAAGCACTATCAGTCCTGTAAATCAACAAACCAACTTTAGTCTTATTCGTAATTTTACTTTTTAGCTTTTACTTTTTACTGGGAAAGGTAAAAAAGGTATATACCTCATTGCACGATACAGAGGCCTGTACCATAATACGTACGAAAGGGGTACTCCAAGAAGTGCATAGATTACTGCAAGGAAAAATATCTTCACACCTGTAATGTAAATGGAAACCAATAAAATTCTCAACTTCACACACAATGCCTTACGATTTCATATCAGTTTAATCTGCTGCATAAAAAGTAAAAACTAAAAACTAGAAACTTACCACCGCCTTTAATCCAACAGACAATCACTGCTATCATGTTAAATACAAGACACAGAACTACACCTGCATGCCAAAATAAAACATTATTTTAATGCATTCGCTTTTGTAAATAAATTAGAATAAATGATAAGCAGTAAAAATCTTAATTCGTACCTAACCAACTTGCAAAAGCCAAATACTGCAACTTTTGAGCATGAACGGGTATCTCATTGGCTATATCATGATGGATTATTGGAAAAAATGGAGGCCAGTTTCTATCATCCGTGGGGATAGCAGCTGTTTCCACATATAAATTAATCAGAGTAATGTTTAGAATAGTTCCAACAGTTATAAAAAAATAATAATAACCAACAATACTCACCACCAGCAACAACTTCTTCTCTTCGTTTGATGTCCTGTAAGTGTAAGATACATGCCAATAAGTAACTTGAAAGAGTTCTCAAATGCCTACATATTGAATAAATATTACCAAAACAAGTGTAAAACCAACCTTTTCCTTTCTCTTTAAGTCGGCTTCCCAGTTTGAAAGTTCTCTCTCTTTTTTCTTTGGATCCTGGAACATGATGACACATTAAGCAAATAAGCAATGCATCCCATTCCCAACAGAGACTTAAAAGATCAAACTAAAAGGAAGTAATGAAGATGATTCATGATATAAATTTATTATTACATTCATTGAATCCAAGGGTATATCAACAGTTGCATCATGCTTTTGACCAAAACCAAGACTACTAGCAACCATCTGAGGAACACGGGATTTTGAACCAGGAGCAGCAGCATCCCCATTCTGCAATCAGGTCATAAATTTAATGATCCATAAATAAAAGGGGGTGGAGTTTGGTCCTTTAAACGAATACACCCTTACAACATTCAATATTATATAATGGAGGCCACAAGTTTGAATTTGCGTTTCGATAGAGAAAACAATTTTGTTTATTATAATTGAGTATATTATGAGAAATGAGGAACTTCTTTTTTTATTAATTTGATTCCAGACATATATCTGTAATCTATGTGTGTGTACACGCTAATATAAAAAACACAGCCATATCCGGCCTGCAATGTGGCATTAATGCGCCAATTAATCCCCGATAAAATCAAACCTTTCTGGACTCATTTCTGAATTTTTTTTTTTAGAAATACATTATAATGCTACACATAATTGATTAAATTTTCATAATCAATTACCTCAGATCTACGACAAAAGAAATACTCAAATTACCACAAAACAACATGCACATCCCAAAATGCTAATAATATGCACACATTAATGTTACATAGAAAAAAAAAACGTTTAATTACACCAAAAAACAACTGAAAACCCAATCTAAGAGCCAAAAAGTAGGCAGATCTAGAGTAGAGGTTACCGAAAATGGATTGACTTCTTCATCAAAAGGATTCGGATCTTCGCGGCGATTCATGGCTGAATTTTAACTTCTTCTGTAGAAACTGCACCTAAATTCTTTGCAGAAATAAATTCCTTAAAGAGTGGTTTGTTACTTCGTCTCTCACTCTGTTACTGTGTGCGTATGAATATCGTTTTTGTTTATCGGTGCATAAAGCGGGATGTGCCAATATTTCGATTTTTGGCCCCTTAAGTTTTCAAATATTTCGTTTTAACTTGTTCTTGTCTTTCAAAATTCAATCCCGACTTTCTGCCGATTTCGAATTTCTATCATAAACAAATTGAATGCCAGCATTAAAAATATATTCAAAAATAACTGTTCATTTATAATAGGATAAAATAGAAAAAATATATTACAATTTTTTTTTTCGATTTAGTAACTCACCCAGTTTTTGTATTGGATAAACTATCATATTTTGTTTGACTTATTAAAACTTTCTTTCTACCAACTTATTTTTTTGCACATGTGGATGATCGGTTGTCGATGTGCTCCAGTCGCAAGCAAGTAATCAATGATGCTTCATTTTTTAGTCAATTTAACAAGTAAAATTGTTTCACAGCCTACCTGACAAACATACCCGAAGAGTTTGTTTTTGCCTTTTTGTGTTATTATGTATTGTTATTGTTGTTTTAGGCTTTTTAGGATATATTACCATCTAAACTGAAGTATCCCTAAGAGAACATTCATCAACGCGAATGATGAACGGCCTCACAAACGAAAGAGCATGTCCATGAATGGTGCACACTCTCGCGATGGTGTTTTTATCATGAGTGTTTGTTAATCCATTTCGAAATAGCTAGGTAGTTTTCTTTACATACATTTTTTACCTTTGTACCATATTTTTAGCTAACCTTTAAATAATGAAATTCTTAGATAATCATCATTAGCAAAATGGTTGTTACAAAAAGCCATATCTGAGTGAAATTAAGTATGACTTTTGTCACATGTCCTCAACTTTGCCTTTTGTGTCCATCCATCACCATCATTTCTTTAAATCGACTTTGGTTACTTGATCCACGTTTATTGTTTGTTGATTCTTTAGATTTATACTCTCTTTCTTCTGCTTTCCAAAAAAGAAACATTAATTTTGAGCATATAAAAAGCATCATGATATACACAATATGCCCATTAAAGAATGATGGTGATGTTGAGATATATTTTTAAATTAATAATAATAATAGAGAAATTAAATATTCTCCTATATTTTCTTCCTACTTATCTATCCTATCCACATGAAAATAATGAAAAGTACCATATTTTGAAAAAAAATTAATTATATTTTTTGACACTTGTCATAATTTCAAATAGATAGGAAGGAAGAAAAATAGGATGATATTTAATTTCTCATAATAATATCCATGCCAGTTTTTAGACATGATGATTCCTTTTACAACGTCAATTTGTAAAATGCATGAATTATTTTGTATAATAAAATAGGGATGACGACAAATGTGTCTTGATACAAATTTGATTGTAATTTCATAATAACCAAGTTTTAAAAAGTTAAAGAGTAGTAGTTTATAATGGAATTCATGTTTTATGTAACGGATTTTAAGGAAAACAACTTAAGTTCCCAAAAGTTTTTTTTTAATATTTTTAAGTGAATCTGTTTAACATACAATGTTGTAAATAGTAAGTAGTTTTCTAACAAGTTACATGTCATTAGAGAGGTATCAGGTTGTTTGAAAGTGTTCATAAAACAATAAGCTGAGAGTTGAAGTCCAGGTATGGACGAACTATGATCCTTTAACAGATGTGTGATATCATGATCTATTAAGTTGGTTAATCCATAAACAGGATGAAATCATTAACTACGAATGTAGTGCTCCAGAAATAAGGAAACAAGATGGACTATGCCTGCACCAAGTTGAAGGTGAACTAAGTTAGGATTGAAATGATGTATGTGATTGTCAAATGTCAATAGCCAATAGCCAATAGCCAATAGCCAATACAAACAAAATGTGCATTGTTTTTGTCTCACCTCTCAGCCATTTTATTCTTTTATGGGGGGAGGGGGAAAGTCAATAACAGACATACAGGCTCTCAGTCACTCATCTATTCAAATTGCATTTGTCATATCCCACCATAAAAAAATAATCCTAGAAAACTTTGTCCTAACCAAAATGAAGAAACCAAACAAAAACATGAAAAATAAAAAGTGAAATCTGAAAAAGAGCTCAAGAGGCACATTGACTTGCAAGCTTTCACCCATAATATATACAACATGCCCTGCCTGCCTGCCTTGATCTAAAATCTAGATACAAAAAAAAAAAAAAAAAAAAAAAAAAAAAAAAAAAAAAAAGACTTACAACACTGGTAAAGACACAAAACTGGTTTCCAAAAAAGTGTGGGATTTGGGGCAAGTAAGTTTTTTTATTTATTTTTCTAATGAGAGGCGGAGGCGGAGGCAGAGGGGAGGGGATCCCCTAAGAAACTAAAGACTCTCCTTTTAAAAATGCGAGCTAAATCCGGAATCTCTGATTCCCTCATCTGCTTTGAAATAGTGTCAAGAGATTTTTGATGATGCCACAAGCAATTGAGGGGTTTCCTAGATAACCTGGTAGCAATGTCAATGGTCAGGCATGCCATGTCTCCTCTTCTGTTTGTGAGAAGACGCAAAACTGGTGTTGAGTATTGAGGATTTGATGCCACTCTGTTCAAAAGAATCAACGCCTCACGTATCACCAATGTCCTGCACCCCCACCCCCACAAATATATTACAACAACAAAACTCTCACATATCTTCTGTTTAAGTAATACTCTACCTTTCTCTGAAATCATCACAAGCCTTGGAGGAGGAGGAGGAGGATGCTTCTTCTACATCAATTTCAGATGCCAAAACTTGTAGAATCAAAAATAGAAAATTGCTTCTTCTACTACAAGGATCACGTCCCAACAAAAATTCAAACCCACGTCTCCCTGATGATGCCAAGAAAGCCACCACAATGATGGCATTCCTTTGCAGTTTCAACACCTGAACACAATAACTTCATGGCTTAACCAAAAAAAAAAAACTAGACAGAATAAGGGTAAAATGGTATTTTAGCCTCGTATGTTCATACGGTTTATTTGGTCTAAAAAAGAAACATCCCTACATATACAAAACTTTATCTAGACATACATACATCATCATCCATTCAGCCACTTTACCCATGCAGGATTTGGTGCCTGTTTCTTTTTTATTTAATGGGATTAATACAATGTGAACAACATTATCTACAATGATTTAATGGGTTAAGCCAAAACAATAGGGCTTAATTAATGTATCAAGACACCAACCTTTTACCTACTAACCTAATTATTCTTCTTTTTCCTCTCAAGTTAAGGTTTATAAATATTATTAGGATTGATGAATATTCTGAAAAAAAATTCTTGATATATAAGGATAAAATTGTCATTTAGTCTCATTAAGATGGTTTATCTAGTTTAGAAAAAACAACAGATCTTACGTATACAACACTTTATCCAGACAGACATCATTACCCATTCAGGACTTGATGAGGGAAAAAAGAAACAACCCCCGAGTCTTATCTACATTACATTAAGCCCAATAAGTTAAAAGAAACAGTACCTAAATATCCAATAACATCAGGGATTAAAAAAAAAACATAACATACCAAGGTTTTTGGTGCACCATTTCCACGGGAAGCTAGACAATCGGCTAAACCCTCTAGTATAGCACCTGTCCCTTTAAATGCAGGGGCAGTTTCGGTACTTGTGGTTGGAATGTCAGAAGATGTCCCCTCTTCTTTACAAGATGAACAGAACATCAACATTAAACTTGGACCTTTACAACAAAACATCAACAATGTCACTTCATGAAAATCTTTTTAGGATTAAAATGAGATAAAGAAGTGAAATTACAATTTAGCAGGAGGTAAAGAAGATCCACAGTTTGCTTTTGCACAGCAACCCCAGCTTCCTTTCTTAAAAGCTGAGAAATAGTTTCAAAGACTGGCACCTCTCCATACCTACCTTGAGAAGAAGAAATAAAACAACTCAGAATACTTGAAGAAGGGTACTATGGTCAATAAAAAAAATCATGGGATGGATAATGAAACTTACATCTTCCTTTCTTTATAAGCATCGGTTCTTAGAAGAAGAATATTCATTATAGAAACTGCCTCCACTCTTATAACTTCTTCACTATGTGTCATGATGATTTGATGCATCGTTTGATAATAAGAAAACCATTTGAATGAGGAAGAATCACCAACCTTCTTAGCATTTATCAAGCTTGAAAGGACTGGATGATGTGGATTATCAGGAAACAGATGTCTGACTTCAGAATGTTTTTCATTAACAATGACATTGTCCCTGAGCACAGTACACTGGAGAGATCAAATCAAAGTTCATAAGGCGAAGAACATCACCAACAAAGAATAAAAGAGAGCAAGTTTTGATTGCACCCATACCTGCTGCATCCTTTGTTTTCCATAACGAAAATGTGTTTCAAAACCACATGAAGCACACAAAGAGATCTGTGAACAATCGTCTTCTGTTGAGAAAAGAAAAAAGTTTTTAAGCAACATAAAAGTTAAAACCAAAGGTGATCAAATTATGAAACTCACATTTTGAACATGACAAAGAGTAACCAATGCTTCTAACAAATCGTCCAATCTTCCTATATCATAACTAATCTGCACAGGTGACAATCATCAGAGATAATCAGTAAAAAAACATATTTCTCATTTGCAGATCTTGTGAGAATAATTAACGACATGCTCATATTTCACTAAAGAATATAAAAGAAAATGGCACTTTCGATGTAACTTAATAGTTAATACCTACCTTTGTCAATGTTAAGTAGAGATGAGATACTTTTGCAGCTTCAACAGACTGAATATGATGGTTTGGAGCCATGTCCAAAAGATCATGATTAAAAGATTCCATTTTGGTTGTGGTTTTTTTAGATGGAATGTTCAAACCTAAGCAACCAAATAAGACCTGTAGATCTGCTCCACATGCAACAAACAACTTGGAAACGAGGTTATTTCTTGGTTGTTGATCATTTCCTGGTTCCCAAATGTCTGCCAACTTTCTTGAATGATTGGTAACTGATAAGCTCTTCTTTATCATCAACTCATCATCATCAGTCTGAACCCCCACAGCCTTGCAGGGTATTACACCTAATCATAACTCAAATTAAGACCCAAAAAGCAATAAAAGTTGAAAAAACATTATAAACTCTACAAATTACAGTTTTTGTGTGCATTTCCAACAAAACCTTAATACAACAATTCCATAGAGCTAAAATGATAACTTGATCTGAGTACCTTTAGTTCCCGGATGAATGATAGTGTGGTCTTCAAAAGGATCTTTATTTTTCCTGCCACATAAAAGCAGACATACAGCAATGTAAGACCTATTTGATCTGCATAATGGTTAACTATGAAGACAGTTATAACACAACTGAAGGAAGATATTACTCACAGATTTGACTTATTTGTACATAAAGCTTCAGGATCTTTAGATCCATTTACTGGAAGTACAGATCTAAGATGCTTCTCATTCTTTTCTCTATCCTTCCTGAGCTCCAAACACTCTTGTTCCTGGAAGTGAATCAACAATCATTAGTTCATTACTAGATCATGCTTAACAAGGCTCGTGAGCAGGCTTCAATTCTGGTGTGTTACCAAATGATTTCATTTTTATATGTTGGAAAGTTTGTTAATTAATCTGTGATAGTTAACTTCCCTTAAAAGCATATCCTTAATACAAATTTGTGGATAGAAATACAACGGAACATACCAGGTTAGTAAGCACCTTCGATACTCTTCCCAACTCTTCCTGCAAAAAAAAACAGCTAATTAAAAATACTTAAAACTGGTAATTGTATCTCTAGCCAGGGTGGAGGTTATGAAGATTCTGCACAAACAACTTCATTGATAAATGCTCCATCATACAATGGTGTATGTAATACAGTAATGCTTCATCCACAAAACTAGAGTGAAACTGACATGAAAGAAACAATCAAGTGTGTGCGTGTGATTCAAACCTTCAACCGGTTGATTTCCTGCTGTTTGGAACATTTATCCTCGTCATGCAATAGAGAAGAATGAGGAAACGGAGGCGCACTGTTGAGACCTCGATTAATTCCATTCATCGACACTGTGGAATCGAAACCCTTAACTGGAAAGTTTCTGTGATTATCTTCTTTCACTCTCTGAGACAACTCTCTAGGAGAAGAAACCTTCAACTGATTGATTTCCTGCTGTTTGGAACATTTCTCCTCGTCGTGCAATCGAGAAGAATGAGGAAACGAAGGCGCAGTAGTGAGACCTCGATTGATTCCATTCAACGAGACTGGGCAATCGAAACCCATAACCGGAAAGTTTCTGTGATTATCTTCTTTGACTCTCTGAGACAACTCTCTAGGAGGAGAATAACTGATGTGAGGGGCATAATGGGGTGGCGGAGGCGGCAGGAATAATTTTGGTGGCGGTTGGATAGGGTTTAAGGAAGAAGAACAAACGGCGGCTTCGGTGGATTTGATAGCTTCTTTCAAGAATTCTTCATCCCACTCTTCAAAATCATTCTCGCCCGCCATTGTTGGTGATAGGAGTGATTGATTTGAAAGCAGACTATACTCTTATGAGAGCGTATCGTAATTGGGGAAGCTTTTGGGGGGAAACGAACAGATAGTATTGAATTTGGAAGACCTACTCACTCTAGTTCTTTTAATCTTTTTGCTATCGTGCCCGAGGGACTGCCTAGGTGGTGTTTGTTTTTTTGTCCGCAGATTTGAGTGGTCTTTTCTGTTTGCGCCTCGCAGACTTAGCAGACTGTTTGTTTTTTTGAAGACTGCAGACCTAAAAATGTCTGCGCGCCCTCTTTTTGACGCAGATGTGGACCAGAGTCTTCTAACATCTTCAGACATCTTCTAGCCTAAAAAAAACACATATATCTTTATTTTTTTAAAGTTTTTTTAATTTATATTTTTTCCAACTTCATTAATGATAAACAATTTGAAAAAAAAATTACAAAACTTAAAAAAAAACGTTCGATAATACAAACATGATATTTTTGACAAATTTATAAATAAATATTTATTACAAGAATAGTCGTTGAAATTGTTTATATAAATATGAAAAAAAAATCATAATATATATTTTTATATTTTTTTGTCAAATTTTGTAAAACATTATTTAATACAGTATCGTCAATTTCTCGAGAAAATATTTATGGTACGTTTTTAATGGATTTAATTGAAAAATTCGAAGTTTATTTCCATCAATTTATGTATCAAATTCTTTGATCCCTAATTATAATGTTTAGTTATAACTTT